TTGGGCCGTAGCTCAGTTTGAATTTCAAAAGAAAATGATTGAAGCAAGAGAGATTTTAGCAAGAAATAATTAGAAATTAGTTGGTTTTAGAACTTCTATAAATAGAAGTATTGTATTCCATTTCTAACTGGTCCAGCACCACCACAAAACATGCATTTCAACTAAAAATGTTTTCAATTGACTCTACGTTATTTTCCTATCAATTTCTTTATTTCAATTTAATGGCAATTGATTAGATCCTCGTCAACTATTTCGATTCAGCCATTTACTTTATTTCAATTTCAATTATGCCAATTTTAATTACGCAATTTTAGTTAGGCTTTCAATTCAATGGCAATTGATTAAATTCTTGCCATTGAATCGTAATGACAATTGATTAAATTCTTGTCATTACTTGGCTGATGGCAATTGATTAAATTCTTGCTATCACGTTTCAGTGGCGATCGATTAAATTCTTGCCATTGTGTTTGGCTGGTGGCGATCGATTAAATTCTTGCCATTGTGTTTGGTTGATGGCGATTGACTAAGTTCTCGCCATCTGTCTTCATTCGGCCATTCCATCCATTCAAACATTCATCAGCCGTTGCATTTCTTTAGACACTCTAAAAAGTCCTTGCTACAAACAAGGCATAAAAGAACATTGCTGGGAGTTCTTACTAGTCTCTCTCCCACACAATCGCCTGAGAGTCAGCCATTGGAAAAAGGAATAGGCTGGTGTTCAATTACATATTTTGGGTATTTTGTACAAATACTCTGGCACGCCCGCGAAGAGTCCATCGACCGGCGTAGGGAACAAAAACCGCGCGAACACGTTTTGGCACGCCCGGTGGGACCACTACTAGAGTGTTATAAAAGAGGCAAATATGCCGCGGCCCACAAAAAATTCTAAGGCCGTGGCTACTGATGAAGATTTGGAGGAAGGCGATCAACCAGTACAGGCTGAGAACTCTGCAACAAGTCCTACTGATGAGTTAGCCGTACTTCAAGCACAGGTTAGCTCCTTGGTAGATGCAATGGGAAGGATGGGAGCACGCTACAACGACTTGCATGAAAATATGTCCCAACTCTCAGCCTTTATTTTGAACAAGCCGACTCAAGCTAGTAGCTCCAACAATCAGGAATCGGCTTCTCAGCCGAATCTATCACAAGCTGCTCGGCCAGAGAGGGCCATTGAAACATCACAGCCATGGCCACCAGTAGTGACACTCCAACCAGGTGCAACATCAAGTCAGCCGGTTCATACGCTACTCACCTGGGCAGAAAGCTATCCTCAGCCTACGTGGGTAGGTTCTAATCAGCCACCAGTAGCAGGTTCGCGGCCACAGGTAATTCCACCAAACCCTCCTCGGATGCCTTTGAACTCGGGGGGCAATCAGATCAAGTGGAGGCCACCGAACCCACTGTATACTCATGTGCCGCCACAGGTAGGGCTCGGGGGGCAGAATATGGCTAATGGCTAATCAGCCACATGATTGGCCGAATTGCTATCAACCAGCGGCTAATCAGCCGCCAGTTTTTAATCAGGTACCACCAATATTAAATCAGCCACCTCAAGTCATGTTAGATAGAAGACAATTAGCTGATTTACTCATAGAAGAATATGGCCTGGAACTTAGAGGTGCCGGCCGACCAATTTATAGAACTCCTTATCCAGAAGTGGTAGACCAAGCTGAGTTCCCTAGAGGATATAAAGTCCCTGACTTTGTAACCTTTAGTGGAGAGGGGAATCAATCGACCGTGGAACACATTGGCCGATTCACGGTTCAATGTGGAGAGGCCAGTGTTAGCCCGTGGTTGAAATTGAGGCTTTTTCTTAACTCTTTGACAGGGGCAGCTTTTTCATGGTATATTCGTTTACCTCCTAATTCTGTTTTTAATTGGCCACAGATGGAGGAATTATTCCACGATCAGTTCTACCGTACGGAGACAGAACCTACTCTGGCCAATTTATCCAGGATAAGTCAATTGCCTAGTGAATCGGTCGAGACATTCATTGCAAGATTCAGGAGAGCAAGATTAAGATGTCGTATACCTCTTCCAGAACAGGAGTACATTCGTTTGGCTTTGAACGGCCTTGATTTTGAACTTCAGAAGAGGTTTGAAGGAGTTCCATTTTGTGACATGTATGACCTGGCCGAGAAAGCTACCAGGTATGAGTTGGTTCTCAAAGAGGAGAAAGAACGAAAAAATTCCTCTAAAGGTACGTACTATAGGGACCCCAACTATGAAGTTTATTCAACTGATATGGTTGAAGAGGAAGATTTTGAAGCTAATTTAGCCGAAGTCATTCTAAAGAAACCTTATGTACGTGACGCTTTAACAAAACCAAATGTATCCACCAGTGGTACTCAGCCATCGACTTCATCGGCCAGGAAGGGTACGGCTGATACTGGTAAGGTTTATACGTTTGATCTGGCCAAAACAGAACAAATTTTTGATCATTTGTTGGCCGACAAACAAATCGTTTTGCCAAAAGGACACAATATACCATCGACCAATGATTTAAAAGGAAGAGAGTTCTGCAAATTTCATAATTCATGGAATCATACTACTAACAATTGTTATGTATTTAGAAATGTATTGCAGAAATCTATCGATGAAGGTGTATTGAAATTCCCTGAAAAGAAGCCAGATGTAATGGGGGTCGATGGCGATCCATTTCCTAATATTGTCAGTACCAATGTAATCAGCCTTGCAACTGAAAAAGCCGCTGATAATGGTAGACAGGAAAGATTACCAAAAGTTCTTGGTAGTTCATCGGCCAGTAATGATGAGCAGAAAGTTAAGGACTTTGAAATTCAATTAAGAGAAGCTCAAATTGCCCTCATCAACCATGGTTGTTGTCCAAATTGCAAAGGCTGAAGGAATGACTCAGACAAGAGGGGCTATTTCCAATCAACCAGAAAGCGCAGTGTCCATGAAAGGTTAGGCCATCAGCCTAGACAGAATCACGAAGAAATCAATCGATCAATATTTAGAGAAAATGGGCCGAGGGCAATGAGAATCATTCGGTCATCGGTGGCCGATAGAGTCCTGCCAGAACAACATTTTTATCCTAGTTTCAAAAGGAAACCAACAATTCAGTCAGAAATATGGGTTCAAAAAGGAGAAGAATCTAACCGTGTAAGAACGGTTAGACCTCCTTTGGTTGACCATGGCAGATGGACTCGAGTAAGTCACCCAAAGTTTCCTAAGCAACCTCCTACACGTACTCAAAAAAGGAGGATGCAAAGAAAAAATGCAGAACTCAAAATGAAAGAAGACAAGATCGACCATGATCAACTAGAAAGAAAAAATGAACCAATGGTGGCTGAAGACATGGAGGTCGCTACATCCTTTGAGAATAAGGCATGCTTTTATGAAGAAAAAGATGATCAGCCAGACCAAGATCCAAAGCATGCGGCCAAGTACAGAATTCGTTTTGGTTCTCTCCCGGATGAGGTAAATTGTAACATGGTATTTGTTTTGCCTTCTGTGTTTGAAGCAAGGATAGAACCAACGATGAACAGGGATGTTGAGTCAGCCAAGCAGGAGGAAAAGGCTGAATCTTCAGAAATTAAGAACGATTCGACAAGTTCATCGGCCGGGATAGGATTGATCTCTCAAGATCAGCCATCTAAGGCTGATAAAATCATTTTCGAAAAACCACTTTTGTCTATGACACAGCAGTTGAGGCCGTTGTATGTTAAAGTATGGGTTGAGGGTCAGCCAATCAATAGGGTTTTGGTTGACAATGGTTCGGTGGTGAATGTCATTCCAGCAACTACTTTGAAGAAATTTGGTAAAACCATGGACGATGTAGTTCCAACTGACGTGGCCATCAGTGGTTTTAATGGAGGATCTAGTAACACCAAAGGTATTCTACCTTTGGAAATTACTATTGGCGGAAAGACATCCTTTACGGCTTTCTTTATCATTGATTCAACCGCGGCCTATAATCTCCTTTTAGGCCGAGATTGGATTCATCCTAACATGTGCATCCCATCAACCTTGAATTAAATGTTGATTTTTTGGGATGGAAATGAGGTAAAAATTGTTGAGGCTGATAACAAACCCTTTATAGCTAGGGTGTATTCGGCTGAGGCTGCACTTTATGATGAAACTGTTGTACCTATCAAATTTGTTGGCATTAACAGGATGGGACGACCAGCAGCAGCAACAATGAAGAAGAATTTAATTAATGCTGATATTAAAGAATTATTGTCAGAAGCAGCTCGGCCGAAAATTGATATTTTCAGGTCGACCATCAAGGACATTGAAGATGTTACTGATGGATCACAAAACCAATGAAGAAAAGAAACGGCAAGCTTTCAGGGCCGCTTACATAAGACTGAAAGCATATCTGGCTGAGAAGAGATTGGCCAGAGAAGAACAGTTATATGAAAAGGTATTGGCCAGCACGGCCGATATAATTGAAGAAGGTTTCGAAAAGCTGGATGCAATCCAACTTGAAGATTTGGAGTCAGCCCCTTCCAGGATGGAAGATAATAAAGCAGAGGTGCAAGATCCTTTATTGGAAATAAATGTTGGTACTAAAAAAGATAATCAGCCATTATTTGTTAGTGCTTTACTTGAGCCTAAATTCCAGGCCAATTTGATTAAATTATTAAATGAATATAAGGATTGCTTTGCTTGGAGTTATGAAGAGATGCCTGGCCTGTCTAGAAAATTGGTAGAACATAGATTACCGATCAAGAAAGATTTTCAGCCATATAAACAACCACTAAGAAGGATGTCTTCGGAAGTAATGCTCAAAATTATAGAAGAAATTGAGAGACTTCTTAAGGCAGGATTTATTCGAACAGTTAGGTATGTTGAATGGCTTTCTAATGTTGTTCCGGTAATGAAGAAGAATGGCAAACTTAGAGTTTGTGTGGATTTTCGCAATTTAAATAATGCCACTCCAAAAGATGAATATCCAATGCCTGTGGCCGATCAACTTATTGATTCGGCCGCTAAGCATGAATTATTATCTTTTAGCCGAGGAAGATATTCATAAAATGGCTTTTAGATGTCCTGGGTCAATTGGTACTTTTGAGTGGATTATGATGCCATTTGGCCTAAAAAATGCTGGGGCTACTTATCAAAGGGCAATGAATTCTATCTTTCATGATATGATTGGCCGATTCATGGAAATTTATAGAGATGATGTAGTTGTGAAATCATCGGCCAAGAGACAGCATTTGGAACACTTGAAAAGGGCCTTTGAAAGGATGAGGATTCACAAATTGAAAATGAACCCATTGAAGTGTGCATTTGGAGTTTCAGCTGGGAATTTCTTGGGGTTCTTGGTACACAAACAAGGTATTGAAGTTGATCAGAACAAGGTCAAAGCTATTATAAATGCTAGGGCCCCAGCCAACAAAAAACAAGTGCAATGGTTCCTCGGCCAGGTAGGTTTTCTTAGAAGATTTATTTCTAACCATGCTGGCCAAGTGCATGTCTTTTCGACTTTAGTTAAATTAAAGTCACATGAGAAATTTCATTGGGACGAATCCCATCAGAAGGCCTTTGACAAAATAAAAGAGTATTTGGCAAACCCCCCGGTTGTAATGCCTCCAAGAAAGAAGTGGCCGTTAAAGCTTTATTTATCGGCCGCAGAAGAATCAATTGGTAGTATGCTCGCACAAGACAATAAACATGGAAAGGAGCAGGCTGTCTACTACCTGAGTAGAGTACTGACTGATGTAGAATGCAGATATTCCTCAATTGAGAAGCTTTGTTTATCTTTGTACTATTCGGCCATGAAGTTGAGAGTATACATGCGGCCTGTTGATGTTTACATTCTTTGTCAGACTAACGTGATCAAGTATATGCTACCAAGGCCATTGATCACTGGCCAAATAGGTAAGTGGGCTTTGGTTTTGATGGAATTCAATTTTATCTACGTCCCACAAAAATCAGTAAAAGGAAGGGTTCTGGCTGATTTTTTGGCCGATCATCCTTCAACTGATATTGATCCATGGGTTTATGATAAATTGGAGTCATCAGCTATATTCTTAACTCCTTGGATCTTGATATTTGATGGATCAAGCATGGCTGATGGAGCAAGAGCAGGTATTGTTATTATTTCGCCAGCTGGCAGAAAGGCTTCATTCTCTTTCTTTTTAGATTTTAAATGTTCAAATAATCAGGCCGAATATGAAGCGCTTATAATCGGCCTGGAGATTTTAATTGAAATGGCTGTTAGAGATGTAAAGATTTTGGGAGATTCAAACTTAGTCCTTAGCCAAATTTCTGAAGATTTTAAGTGCCTAAGTTGGCAATTAAGGCCGTTTCATTCTCTGGCCACTTCATTAATCAATTAATTTGATAATGTTCAACTTAAGTTCTGGCCGAGAGGGCAGAATAAGGAGGCCAACAGCATGGCCCAAGCAGCCTCTGGAATAAGAGTACCAGCCGGAATAGAAGATCAGTTGATAAAGATAACACGAAGATCTTTGCCATCGGCCGAATTGAGAAATACTATGTTGTTTGATACTTTGACAATTGATGTAGAAGATTTGGCCGACGATGACTGGAGGATACCATTTATAATGTTTCTTCGAAATCCAAACATCAAGACTGATAGAAGTATTAAAAGAAAAGCGATCAACTTTGTGCTTCTAGATGGGGATCTATACAGAAAAGGGTTAGAAGATGGGCTCTTACTACAATGCATAAGCAAGGAGGAATCACTTCAGGTTATGGCCGAGGTACATGAAGGCAGCTGTGGGGCTCACCAAGCTGGGATTAAAATGAGAAGGCTGATTCGCAGGTATGGATATTATTGGCCGAGGATGAGGAAAGATTGCATAGATTACTCAAAAGGTTGTCAAGCTTGTCAAAGACACGAGACGATTCAAAATGTACCAGTAAAAGAATTACAGCCAATAATCAAACTTTGGCCATTCAGAGGTTGGGGCCTTGACCTTATTGGTAAAATTAATCCACCATCAAGCGAAGGCCATCACTGGGTGATTGTTGCCACAGATTATTTTACTAAATGGGTTGAGGCCAAGGCTTGCAAAGCGGTTGATCAGCAAACAGTGATTAATTTCATGGAACAAAACATCATCCACAGATTTGGGATTCCAGAAACACTTGTTTCAGACAATGCAACAGTATTTAGGGCAACTGATGTACTACAATTCGGCCACAACATGAATATTCATATGTCAGCCTCTACGCCATACTATGCTCAAGCAAATGGCCAGGCCGAATCTTCAAACAAAATTTTAATAGAGATCATTGAAAAAATGATCAAAGATAAGCCAAGAAGGTGGCATGAGACTTTGTCTGAAGCTTTATGGGCCTATAGGAACTCAAAAAGAACAGGCACAGGAGTTACACCATACATGTTAACTTATGGTCATGATGTTGTTCTGCCTATGGAAATGAAGGTTAAATCAGCCAGAGTTGTTTTTCAAAATAATCTAACTCCAGCTGATTATACTCAAGCAATGTTGGTAGAATTGGAAGATTTAGATGAAGTTAAAAGGGATGCTTTGGATCATATCATAGCTCACAAGAAGAAGGTGATGAGGATCTACAACAAGAGGGTAAAACCTAAGTCTTTTGCTGAAGAAGATTTAGTTTGGAGAGTTGTTTTGCCAGTGGGTAAAGTCGATAGGAAATATGGGAAGTGGTCCCAAAAATGGGACGGGCCATACTTAGTCCATTAAGTCTTAAGTGGAGGAGCATATAGGCTGAAGTATTTCAGTGGCCGATTACATGACTACCCCATTAATGGCAAGTACCTCAAGAGGTACGTACCGGCAATCTTTGAAAGGGAAAATTAGTGTTAGCCAGTACTTATGGCTGACCATGTATACCTTTATGTAATAAAATTCGGCCTATTTTCCTAGGCTGATTTGGTTATTTTAATAAAAATTTTCTTGCTAAAATGTTGATATTTGTTTGGAGTAACAAAAGAGGCCATTTATTCATTGAAGTGTAAAAGATTACATCATTTAAAGATCATACACTAAGATGGCCACAAAAGGAAGCTAATATAAAAAGATTCATATGCTTGCAAATTTTTCCTTGAAATCGGCCCAAATAACTAAGGACCGATTGAAGGCCACCATGGCCTGCCTCTTTGACTCTTCCAACTGAGGTAATTCTCCACGAAGATTTGCATGCTCGTGAGCAAGGTCTTGAGCTTCAAACTGCAATGTGGCAGCTTCAGCAGACAAGATGGCCTTACGAGCATGGATCTGGTCGATCTCTTTCTGAAGGACATGTTCTCTTTCCTCAAGGCCGATGAACTCTGTATTCACTCTTTCAAAGGAGGAAGCTTGGGTTAACAATTGGTTAGCAAGGGTATCCTTCCTATTCTTACTCTTGTTGAATTGGTTGATTGCTTCATTGGCCTGGAAAATATCATCGGTCAGAGTTGGTAGTTGGCCTTTAAAGGTAGCAATAGTGGCTTGAAGATCAACCGGAAAGTCTGGGTACTGGCTGAGTGTAGAAAGCACTGCTGTGAGCTCACTTTCAAATTGAGGAAGATTAGCAGCATCTCTTTTCAAGATCTCAAGTAAAGATTTTTTGGTTTTTTCTAAGGATTGTATAGGGATATTGGCTGAAGTGACTGGAGTGGCTCCAGAAGATTCACTTTCTCTCTCTTCAGTCACTGAAGCTACCACATCCTTAAAGAAATTGCTTAAGGCCAATAGAGATGAAGCAGGAGCTTTTTGTGGAGGAAATAAAGGAACAATTTGAGTTTTCTCATACACAACCTGACAAAATGAGGAAAGATTAGATCTTAAAATTTTTGGGGTTATGAGATAGTCAATACCTTGGATGATTCGGCCATGTCTGTCACCAAGAGTGGCTGATGACTAGTTACTGGAGGAGGAAGTTCTGGCTGAACCGCTGTGCTATCTCCCTGGGATGAAGTTTTAGCAGGAGTGACTTGAACATTGAAGGGCACCTCAATGGGGTCATGAAAATCCTTCAGAGGGCTGAAATTTCTAACCGGACTATAGACCAAGTCAAGAAGAGGAGATTGTTGCAAAAGAGAAGAGATTAAGGATGTTATTAATTGAAAAGTTTGGAAAGTTCAAGTACAGTTATCTTTACCTCTTTTTCATCTGAGGAATGATCAGAAGGATTGTCAGCCACATTAATTACAGGATCATCGGCCACGTCTTCTGTAGGATGAGGGCTTTCTAGATTTTCTTCTACTTCATGTTTCTTACTTTTGCTCAATCTTGTCTTTTTTAAAGTACCATGAGCAGTTGATTTCTTTCTTTTTCCCTGGAGATGGAAGCTTTATTAAAGTTTGTCTCGGCCAATAATAGTTGTGGCCAAGAATTAGAAATCAATATTGGCCAAGTATTTTAATAATAGGGCCGATATGATTATCTTCGTATGTTAATGGATAAAAACTTTTACCTTTGGAGGGGCTGGAGGAACATCAGGGATGACGACTGATTCAGTTGTTGTAGGCTGAGGAGGTTGGCTTGAGGAAATTTTATCATCTTGGGGCTCAACGTCCTCTGGATTAGGCAAGGCTGATAAAGTTCCACTGTCTGAATCTGCAAAAAAAAAAGTTGTAAGAGAAATTCAATTTAAAGTTCTTTTAAATATATATATATATGCAAGTAAAGGAAGATTGTACCTTTGAGAAGGCTGGCAGTGGCTTTGGCCTTAGCTTTTCTCTCTTTATTGATCCTTGTTAGAGCATCTACTGACTGAGAGAAAGGGAGTTTCTTGACCGTTTGTTTTTTACCTTTGGGAGGATCCTTTTGAGGCACCTTCTTTGGGGTAACGGCCCGGGAAATTACGAATGCCCCTTCAAAGGCCACAGATATGAACTTGAAAGATTCCAATATTTTAACAACAAGTGACTGGCTATCAGCCGTCCTTGTAGAAGTAATGTAAGAAGACCACCATTGATCAAAACTAGAATCTGAGGCTGGGTTCTTGATGAAGGGTTGGAATTGGAATCCGGCTTGCAGATTTGAGAACCGGGAGGACACGTTCTTTACATAGGAGTCATCTGGAAATACCACAAGCCTATGGAAGTTTTTGTTGAAAGAGAAATAAGGGGGCATGGGGATCATTTGAGTCAGACCAAATTGCCTAGCAAGTTGGTTTGGATTGTAGAACTCAACTCCAACTTTTGAGTTTACTGTGCCTAGAGGGCCAGTGTTGAAGTGAAGGTCTCTTAAAAGTAAGAAACTAGCCCACATGGCCGAATGCTTATCAGCTGATTTTTTGGTAGACACTCCTTGAGGAGGAGTCAGCCATCGAGGTACTTGTGAGCAATGAGAAAATGGAAGGAATTGGCTGATAGTCCTCTATTCACAACCGGAGTAAAAGAAATTGAAGCAATCTCCAAACGAATGGGATTTAGGTACGGCCGATGCGTAACTTACAGAAAGTAATGGGTCATTGGCCGAAGGCCTCACCACAGGTCCGAGCTCAGGAAAGTACACTTGAAGCCAAATTTGAAATAACCAGAGGGGACCACCATAGCGTCCGAAGTTGGAGGTAAGCAAGTCATGAATCCCTCTATATAAATGGGAAAGCACCAAGGGAGCAAGAGCAAGGTGTTTACCTCTTGAAAGGGCAACGGCCACATGAATGAAATCCTTTGTGACTTGAAAGGCCGGTACACATAAAAGAAACTTGTTTAGCCAGGTCAACAAGAAGGCAATATGTTCAGCATCATTCACAGGGATGCGAGGATCCATGGTGGAAGTTAAGTACTTGCCATAAGAGGATTCAGATGACTTGGTTCCAGTTTGCTTTGAAGGGAAGATGAAAGGAGAATCCTCCTCTACCAACAAGGTACTTACATCAATCCCAAAGGGTTTGAGGCCGGTTAGATAGCACACGTCTTGCATGGTTGGAGCCATCATGCCACACTTCAAGTGTAAGGAGTTGGTGGTGGTCGACCAATTAAACATGGCTGCTATCATCAAGGCCCTGTCTTGGGCGATGTTAGTTTTACTTAGCTGAATGGCATCATATATGCCACAATCCTTCCATACTTCTCCCTTCACAGCTCCAACCCGGTCGACCCAATTGATCCAAGCATCATTTGGAATATGCCATGTTCTAAAATGAAAGTGTGGCAAACTGCCATTTTCATTAGGAGGGAAGGTTTGAAGGAATGGAAGAACGTCGGCCGAAGGATAGAAAGGTGAGATTGATGAAGGAGCTTCGTCAAGGAAAGCAGGACCTAAGCCTTTGAAGTCAGTACGAAGATCGATAAGGGTATTGAGACAGTATTTGTAAGGAGATAGAGTTTTTAGGGATTTTTCTATGATATTGCCATGGGTTGAAGGATCGGAAGGTTGAGGGATAGAGGTGGAATCAGTTGATTTAGTTTTCTTAGGAGCCATAGAAGACGTCAGGAACGATTTTGCCGAGAAAGAATTTCAGAGATAGAAAGTTTAAGGGAAGAAGAATGATTTTAGGGATTAGAGAGCATCAAGCTAAATACTTGCTGGATGTAATAGCGGATTAGTGTAGTCACCGCTTTAATTGGGAAAGATAACCATTAAAGCAGGTGGTTGGAAAGAGAATTTATTACCAAAATTTGAATTACAATTTTAGGCCGATTCAAATTCCAAACGCTTCATATCATAAGTGATAAAAGCATTTGAAATTCAGGGGGCATTTGTTGGCACCAAAACTTGGCAGCCACTTCAGCAGCGACGTAGACCAATGGGAAGCCGATAAGTGTTAAGCATGTCCAAGAATGGTCGGCCAATGGAGAAATAGTAGGAGAAGATTTAGGAAGATATCTATATATTCAGCCACCTCACCAAAAGGGTTGTTACTAAACAACCGAGACTTGTGTTAATTTCAAAAGGAAATTTCATTAGAAATAGAACATTGGGAGAAGTTGGCTAAGGTGACATAATTAAGTTCCTATAAAATAGGGATTTAGTTATGAGAACGGAAATTGAATCCTTATGGAAATGAAATTCAAAAGGAAGGGGCAGCCACGTGAGTGTATGGGTTAAGGCTATAAATGGTCTTCCAGCCATTTAAGGGAAATATTTCAGTCAAGCTTGAAGAAAGAAGTTGCTAAAAATCAGTAACTTACTAGCAATCTTCCAGTAGCTTTCTACCGACTTCTTAGCAATCAATATTTTCTTCAACAAAGGTATTCTATTTGAAGCAAGACGAAACAAGAGGAGAAGAGACGTGAAAGACTACTGGAGTACGACCTATTTTCAGCAACAAAGTAAAGCAAATCAAGGAAAAGAGAGATTTCAGTAAAGACTTTCCCACTGAAACTGGAGCATCGATATTGAAGGCGAGGAATGTTGGGCCGTAGCTCAGTTTGAATTTCAAAAGAAAATGATTGAAGCAAGAGAGATTTTAGCAAGAAATAATTAGAAATTAGTTGGTTTTAGAACTTCTATAAATAGAAGTATTGTATTCCATTTCTAACTGGTCCAGCACCACCACAAAACATGCATTTCAACTAAAAATGTTTTCAATTGACTCTACGTCATTTTCCTATCAATTTCTTTATTTCAATTTAATGGCAATTGATTAGATCCTCGTCAACTATTTCGATTCAACCATTTACTTTCTTTCAATTTCAATTATGCCAATTTTAATTACGCAATTTTAGTTAGGCTTTCAATTCAATGGCAATTGATTAAATTCTTGCCATTGAATCGTAGTGACAATTGATTAAATTCTTGTCATTACTTGGCTGATGGCAATTGATTAAATTCTTGCTATCACGTTTCAGTGGCGATCGATTAAATTCTTGCCATTGTGTTTGGCTGGTGGCGATCGATTAAATTCTTGCCATTGTGTTTGGCTGATGGCGATTGATTAAGTTCTCGCCATCTGTCTTCATTCGGCCATTCCATCCATTCAAACATTCATCAGCCGTTGCATTTCTTTAGACATTCTAAAAAGTCCTTGCTACAAACAAGGCATAAAAGAACCTTGCTGGGAGTTCTTACTAGTCTCTCTCCCACACAATCGCCTGAGAGTCAGCCATCGGAAAAAGGGATAGGCTGGTATTCAATTGCATATTTTGGGTATTTTGTACAAATACTCTGGCACGCCCGCGAATAGTCCATCGACCTACGCAAAACGCGCAAACAGGATCTTTGTTTTATTTTATTTTTTAAAAAAAAAAACCATCAAATTAAGCACCGAACCCATAACCCTAGTGTTTCAGATTTAGAAATCAAGAACAAGAAGAAATATAACGTCATCTCTGCCTCTGTAACTATGTAAACTTTCGATCACAAATCGCTATCCCCATATTTCTCAAAATCAAAGTCTATTCGGCCGCCTTGTGTGCTGACAAGTTTAGAAGTATCAGGGTCAGAAAAGCTATGTGAACTTGATGGGCTTGAACAGTTGGAATGTTTAATACACTTGAATATAAGTCGGTGTTCTTACTTAGAAAGAGTGCCAGATCTATCCAATCAAGAGAAGTTGAAGAAGTTACTTGCTTACTGCTGTCCTTACCTGATTTTGATTCAAGGCGTAGAGCAATTGGAATCCTTAGAATATTTGGATATAAGTGAATGTGTTTCCCTAGAAAAATTTCCTGATCTATCAAAATTGGGGATGCTGAAAGATTTAGTTCTTCGGGAATGTAACAACTTAGTTGAGGCTGAGGGCCTGTGGGTATCGAAATCCTTGGAGAGACTGGACATGTCGTCTTGCAAATGGACAAAAAGATTACCAGATCTTTCAAACCTGAAAAAACTGAAGGAATTGAGAATTCGTGATTGTGTAAAATTAACTGAGATCCAGGGACTTGACATGTTGAATTCACTAGAATATCTAAACATTGCTGATTGTGAGTCGCTGGGAAAATTACCGGATATGTCAAACCTTAACAGCCTGATGGCCTGGTATGTCTTAATTTTTCTGTCGAACTTTGCTTGTGAAATTTTCCTTATTGACAATTACATCATTGTTTTATTTTGCACATCTTCTACTCATTGTTGGGCAGATGAATTCTAATGCACATTGAGATTATTCTATGTACTAAAATTACACGGTGAATATTTTGTCTTATACCACAATGCACATTGAGTTTTATTTTCCCCTTATTTTCTTAAAGTATGTTTGTGTATGCACTTGAGAAGGAAAATACATGCACAGATTAGCCCTGCTGTTTTGGGGTCTTTGAGAGTTAGGTTTACTGTTTCAGCCTTGATTTTTAGTTTCCAATTTAGAGAACAGAAGACTTGGAATTGTACTGTCATTTGTGTGCATTACACTGGAAATTGGATTTCAAAAAAATCAAATGTAACAAGAAAACAACAAAAATAAAATAAAACTACAAGTAGTTGGCTTGGAGAAATGCATAAACCATAGAAGTTACATTTTTACAGAATAGCATTGAACTTGAACAAAATGCACTTGCAGAAGCAAAATATTTCTTTCTAGTGTCAAAGATGATTTCCTCCTTGTGGACAACTCACCATGCTCATAGATACCAATTCAGAATATATGGAGATGGTATCTCCATGATATTCCACATATTGAGAACTTTAAGTGCATGCCGACACAACCACCCTATTGACTCAAACATCTTACAGGAACACACAACGTTGCGATTAGAGGAGTAAACTTTGTAATGTAATATGCTTACTGTGGCATTTCTGTGATACACGATAAGTGTGAAGCATACCAAGACTACAAAGCTGGTCCTAGTGCACTATTAAACTCAAAACAAACTCATCCTCAAAAAGGTTGTAAACATTTACTGTGTAAGCGTCAGCTGCTTGCTTCAACAGTTTACTGCCTTTTACTTTAAACTGTACTGTGCCATGTTTAGATCGAAAATCATCTCTACTTTCAGCAAAACGCATCTTCCCACATTGCTCTTCATTGTGATGCACAAGTTCTATGAGAGACATACTTCTTTCTTAGTTCGTAAAGTGACTCAAGCCATTTGTTGCCTACAAGATCAAAGCCCATAATCATCTCAGCCCATGTTGATTGCAATCCATCCTCTGTTTCACTGTTTAAACACTAGTGGAACAAACTCTTGAAGTCAGAATTGGCATACAAACTCCCAATCTTTAGGGAGGAATATGCCACAAGCAAAGACGATGGCATGTATTGGGAAAAACCTTCTTAATGGCATTTTCCATCACTTGGCACTGATTTGCAAATATCGTCTTTGGTGGTTGATTCACCATTGTCTGTCTCAAACAACCAAACAAATGAATCAATTGTCTCATTCAAAAGGAATCCACAACCAAATAAAATGTTCTTCCTATGGTGATTAACTCCCACGAATGGAGCAAATATCACGTCATACTTGCTTGTTCGAAATGTGTCAAATATCACAACATCTCCAAAATAATCATAATCCAACTTTGATCTCCCATCTCTCCAAAAGAAATTTGCCAATCCACCTTCCTCATCTAGTTCCACGTGGTGAAAAAACATTTGGTCTTCGATTTGACAATGGCTTAAGTGATTTATTAGACTTTGCGCATCCACTCTTTCAATCAAATTCGGTTTCTTTTGATGGCTTATAGAACTCTGATAGTCTCTTTGCATAAACCCGACATTTCCAGACCCACCACTCTCTTTTGAAAGATGGTCTGTCCATCTGATACCATGAAAATGTATTTCATTGACAACACCTGCACTGGCTGGACCTATGTTTCTATTTACCCTTTGAAATTTCATTTCTTCCGGTACAGCAAACTCATGGTTATGCTCATCATTGAAATGACTAATTTTCTAAACATCATTTTTAATACTAAATCTAATTAAAGCTTTACAACCTGTACGCGTCACTAATCTTCTAATCTTTTTCGGTTCAGAAGGTTTTCCATCACGATAATGTCCAGCATTCGCACACAAGTACTCACGTTGCAACATAATCCCACCTCTACCATGCCATATATTTCCTTTCCGGACACTAAAACCCTTCCTCAAGGCATACTCACAATATAACCTAGATGCTTCATCTTCTCTGTGGACTTCCATTCCAACTTTAAGTTCAGCATATTTTCGTTCATTTTCCATATTATCAGACAATGCCATTCGACAAACCAGGTTTATAAATACTAATACTAATACCTATGAACAATAAGAAGAAAGGAAAATAAAACTTATGTTACCAAAATAATATTTATTGGACAAACATTATGAAGGCCGATGACATTTCTTATTGCATCCAGACCAGAATATTCTTTAGGTGATGAAAACCTCCCTTCCTGTGTTTTTTTTTTTTTTAAATACACCAAACGAGAAACAGGGCAATCCATGTACTTGGAAGATATACCATTCCTTGGTTCTTGGTACTTCCAAGATATATACATGTATATATATCTTGTGAGTCTTATATGTATTTTGAGTTTAGATGTACTTAAGGAAAAAATAATAATAATAAATAAACAAAAAATAAATAAATTAATGAGACCATCAGTTCTGGTCTATGAAATGCAATCACAATTGAAAATTTTGCTTAACATCTGCAAAAAGCTCATTAATTTCTCTAAAATGTGATCATAATTGTTGGCATAATTTTTGAAGAGAGACATTTTGTTTAGATGTACTGAAGAAAAAAAAAAAAAACATAGGAGACCATCAGTTTCCGTCTATGAAATGCATTGAAGTTTTAGAAATCAGAGTTGAAATTACCATTGTTCCCTAGCAGAGTCCCAACCCTTAATTTCTCACTCCAAAGCACAAGGAATCAGAAATAAAGATAAAGTCTTTCAATTAAAGAGAAATATTTTTTTACTGAGAAACCCTCTAGTGTTGATGGCGTCAAGGGTATGAGAGGAGAGAGAGGGGGTGACAATGAGAGTGAGAGATGGTTCTCCCCCTTCAGTTTTCGTCAGTGAGAGAGGAGAGAGAAAGAGGACGAAACAAGGCCTCTCATCTGTACTCTAGAGATGGAGAACTTCAGTTTGGCGAGAAGAGGGAAATCTTTTATTCCGAACACTTGTCACTGATATTCACTATCGCTACAAATTGATGTAGAAGTTCAAAAGACAAATGTGACGGAAATGAAGATTAGGACAAGTGAACCAACTATGATCGTGTGTGTATATATTAGTACAGGTGAACCAACTATGATCGTGTGTGTGTGTGTACACACATATATATGTGGTGCTTTAAAGTATAATCTCAAGGGCATGTATTGGACCAACCCTGCGTCCAGTGAAATCTAGGCTTGCCAGCACTCCCAACCCATGGTACATGCTCTCTTTACTACTTTAGCAAACCACTCCGTGGTCATTTGTCCTTGAGTACAACATAATGTGCTGTCATTACTAAAAAGACCAAAGAACAATCTTTAAGCACACACTCCTCGCTTATTCCCAGAACCATTCATATAATATATGCATAGAGATCACAACATTTATTCATCCCAGCACTTAATTACAAACTGAATTTGATTTGAATTGGCCCATAGAAAATCAGAATGAGATGGAACAAATGGACCACCCTTTTCGGTCAAAGATAAGCACTACACTAGGATTGCAAGTGCGCTGTGTGTGTGTGAGATAGAGAGAATTTGAAAAGGTTGAGAAGATAATCTTTAATTCAAAATTGATTGTGCAAATTGCAATACAATAACTAAAAAATTTGGTAATTAATAGTTTCTATAAACCCACTCAAGCAATAAAGAGTACCACATCTAAATACTTTGCCGAAACCATAAAGCCTAAATAAGAAAATGAGCTCCTTCCATGGAACTAAGACCTTGGCTTCTCCTTTTTCTCTTTAAATAGAGCAAGAAGAGAGACACCAGATACCTTGACAACCTTGAATCTGACACCAGGAATATCTCCGACAGCATGCCCCTTACGTCCAAATCCAGCAATCAACACCTCATCCTACAGTAACATACATTTTCCACGCAGTTAACAAAACAAATGGAAGAAAAAACAACCAACATGAACCAATTGAGCATCTACACTAGGACAGATTACTTACGTTCTCTTCTATGTAGTTTAAACAACCGTCATTGGGGACAAAAGCAGCAATCTTCTTCCCATTCTTAATCAGTTGAACCCTAGCACATTTCCTGATAGCAGAGTTGGGCTGTTTAGCCTCGATACCTCTGTAGACATCAGTTAGGTCATCCGTCAGGTTTGATATGCAATGGTATAACCACAGAGATTTGGTTGATGTTGCAAGGGACGTTCAAACATCAACTCAAAATTGGATATATATAGATATATATATATTCACTTTTGCCCTCATAACATTTTTTTTTTTAAAAAGGGGGAATATTACATCCTGAAAACTCTGCTAGCTAATTTAAACAAAAGAAGTAATACATCACTTCATGGCTTCCTTTATTTGTGTCACCAGACTCACCACTTCATGGTTGGGCTAAACATCGACCCAAGCACTTGTTACATATAACAGAACTCCATTAAAATGATGCATGGCCATTTTTTTCTAAAGGAGCATCTATCTAAATAACCCCTGGCCTATGTGAACGATAATAGGGGTAAAACTAGAACAGATGGGGCATCATCAAAGAATATAGAAACTAAGAGGGCATCTAGGCAAGAATAAGTATATATGAAATCCTGAGGCCAAAATTGAGTTGCCAAAAGTACTGGCTGAAGTCTTACATCTTCTCAAGTACAATGCCCTTTGCATGGGAAGACCCAGCAAATGGCTTTTTCCATTCATTACCAAGGTGGGACTTCTTATATGCCTTGTCAGCCCACCTTTGCCTTCTACGGTGGGACTTCAGCTTGCGACCAGCTCCCATTCCACGTGTTTTCCTGTGGGACAATAAAGCTTCATATTATAAACCCAATCAACTGGCAACCGGCGAGTAATGCCAATCCATAGAAGCTAATTATCCTTTATTGGAAATCACAATATAATAAAAGAGAACTTGAAAACTGAAACCTTTTCAACCAAAATCGGCAATAAAATTCCAAAAATTCATTTCTTTCCCCAAACACCTTGACAAATGTATGGAGCACTGAGTTTATGAAGCATTAAAGACATCAACGAATGTTTGCTTGCTTTTATTGGTTTAACTAAAATCATAATTTCGTATTTAATTTAGAATTAAATGATTTTCTTCATCTTTCCTCTATTTATAATAGCTCCAAAAAACATCAAGTTCTCTAAATCTAATTACTTTTTAGTTCACATCCGTGATGCTGCAGCATGCTGTTTCTAGGAATTGTCAATCCTGATATACGAAAATAGTGTTTCTATACTTAATAAAAAAAAAAAAGTGTAAATGTAAAATGTGATACTGTTTCCATAAAACATTGTTCATGCCAGAGAAATCACATAAAAAAAGATTGTTTGAATGCATCTAAAAGGCACAATGAATTTTGACAAACTGAAGCAGTATATGGTTGTGTAGTCTTGGAAATATCTAATGCCATATGGAAACATACTATTCCTCACATCACATCTCCAATAACAATGAATGAAAAAAGATACTAGTCTGGAAATACATGGGCATTCATTACCGTTCAAAAAGTTTATCTATCATATTAGTCAAGAATTTCAGAGTTTATCTATCATATTTTTCCAGCTATGAGACTATGAAAACCTTGTATAGTATAACAACCCCAAATTTCTGGAGATGCAATTTTCAATAGAGAAGAAGGCAACAAAACATCACACTAATTATGAAATTTACCACTATTTGGGACCCAAAAAAAAAAAAAAAAACATTGAATTCATCCTTAATTCCAAATACAATCATTGGCTTAGCTAAAATGTAAGCTTAATTTTCTACAACCAAAAACATCAATATCCAAGGTTTAAGTTCTGTTTTCATGAGAAGCAAACAAATGGAGGGAGTAAGAAAATCAATAACAAAAGATCTGAACATGGAGCAGCATCTACACTGAGAACACAACCAACATATTCAAAAACACTAAACTTGATTCTAAAACTACATACGCACACATATATATGGGTTATATAAATATATGTATGAATATATACAAATATATATATAAGCATTTATATGTAAGAAGATGATCGAAAGTCCAAATCAGAGCCGCAGTTCATACCCCATGGCGACTGAGAAATATCTCGACCGAAACTAGGTTTGAGAGCTCGGAGATGACGAGGCAACAGCCACCGAGTCGAACCCTAATAGTAGTATTAGTACCAAATATGGAGTGGTGTATATTATATGTAGATTTATATTGGCCCATTGGGTTGGTGTGTGGGCTATCTGGATGGGCCTAAGAAGGTGAGTTCCAGCCTATCCCGTTATCACTGTTTGGGCCGTATTCTTGTTCTAATTGGGGTTACATAATGATTCCGTTCAAAGTTCAAACGGTGATCCCATCTGCTAGCCCATTTAAAATTGTTGAACCACTTAAAAAGAGTACTCCCAAAAAAATGTACATGAATATATTTTATGGATGTGTTTTTATGGGTTTTATTAATCAGCTAATTTAGTTGTATTGTTACTCAACATTGATACATTCATATGTGTGTGTGTTTTTATTTGATTTTACCAAAAGCAAGTGTGTTTTGATTTGATTGATTGGCAATATTAGTTACTGTAGAATTGAATAGATCATGATGTTGATCAAATTTTTTGTGCCGATCAAAGAATGATTTAAGGCCATGTCATCAATTGCGTTGTGTGTAATATATATGAGTGTTATTTTGACTGAAGAAGTGATTTCTTACCCAATTAAAGCTGGAGTTATATATATATATTCATACGTGCAAACAAGCAAACAACCTCTCCGAAAGTAATGTAAGCATACGTGCATTTGACCATTTGCTCCAAAACGCATTTGACCATTTGCTCCAAAACTCAATGGATTCATCTTTCCTTAGAATGCCACTGCAATAATGCTTCTTATTGACACTTTCAGGCAAATTTGAAGGCATATCTCTGCAATGGTTCCTGCAAAAATGTCATTTTCTGAGTTGAAGATAAGAAACAAGCTCATGTTTGTGTCATCTTCTGCAGATCAACTGAAATAGACCAGGGCTTGGAAGGCTCTCTGCATGACTGGTAACTTGTGTTTAGCATATAAAGAGAACCACATGAATTTGTACAAACCTAGATTGCTTAATTTTCTGCTATAATTCAGTAAACTGTAAAACCAAATATACATTTGGTCCTGTTAACATTATGCATCACCCAGGGTACAAGAAAAGCAACAAAGGATGCCTATATGAAATACTGAATCAGAAGGATTGAACATGGATTAAGACAAGTTTGCACAAACTGATATCCCTGGCATAATTTTTAAGTGACTAATCTAAGATTCACTTATCAAACCAAGATTTTAGCATTGCTAAATACTACAATACATCAAATAAATTAATGATAAATTTTCCGAAGTTCATAGTTTGTAGCTTTCTGTGAAACAGTCTTTATTCTACATGGGGCATCCAAACCAGACTTGAACAAGTCCCTTTACTTGCCAGAGTTGGGTAACCTTGAATTCATTATTTTCATCTACTAAACTCAAGTACAAAGAATTGAAGCAACAATTGCAGATATTGCATGCTTGCTATGATGCATAATGCATAATCATTAGCCAAAGTAACCCCTAAAGGAGTGCCATATTAACATTATCTCCAAAATAGAACAATACAGCAGTTTTTGCTCAGATCACTTAATTACATACATAATTTCCTCAGTGATCAAAGGACAGACATGTCTTGCCATTTTAAAACAGAAAAAATAAAATACAATAATTGCGGCGTCTGTCAAAACCCCACACATATGGCAGGTTAAACAAAATAGAACACTAAGCCTTAATCCATTTCCATGCAATTATACTTAAATCCAGCCCCCCGAAGCACCTGTTAAGAAAAGAAACTACGAGTTAACATGAGCAGGACAAAACAAAAACAATAACACAATCTGTGAAGAACAAGATGCTCTACCTGCGGAACAATTAATCTATTTCTGGCCCTTTTTCAACAACACAGCGATCTTCTTCAACATGTTACCATTTTTCTTCTTAGGTGAGTGGTCATCCATGTCTTCTGAATAAGGTGAATTCATCTTTCCACCAATGGTATGGAAGTTACTGTCAAGAGACCCTGTTCTCTCCATTAATTTCCCATTATGTCCTGTAGAAAGCATAGCAGCAGCTGCCTCGGCTGCCTTCCTCCACTGGTCTGACTGTACCTTGAATTTCCTCAACTCAGCCTCCAATTCTGAATTTGTAGCCCGTGCTGCATCGAGCTGCTCAATAACCCGCGCGGTTTTTTTGCTGCTTCTATCTGCCTCTTCTGTTAAACAGCCAAGCTTCATCAAAGCCTCATGCTCCACAGCCCTTGCTGCTTCTGCTAAAGCATTGGCCTCATCATTTACTGCTTCACTCTCCACTTCCCACTTCTTGAATTTTAATTTCAGCATCTCATTTTCCTCAGTTATACCCTGTAACTCTGTCTCTTTATCCAACGAACTTGCCCTTAAATCTGCCACGCGTACTTCTGACATCTTCAACTCTGTTTCCAGTTCAGATTCTCTTTCTCTAGACTGATTCTTCTCAATGTTTGTATTCAGCCTCTCATTCTCCTCTAAAATACTCTGCAATTTAGTCTCTTTATTTATCAGGTTTGCCTTTAACTCTTCAATATCAGCTTTCGCTTTCTTCAACTTAACCTCCAATTCAGCCTCTCTCAGGCACGATTCTGATTTTGCGTGCTCCACTAATTCATAAGCACTTCTGATCTGCATTGTGCTTTGAATATTTTCTTCCTGGTACCTTCTTTCAGCTCCATCTAGTGCAGATCTTAATTGATTTACCTCATTTCTCATATTGTTAAGCTCTACTCTTAGCTCGTTTGATTCTGCATCTTTAATATTGCCTGAAGGATCTTGTGAGGTTTTGTCATTATTCCCTAAATCAGCCTTAAGTTTGCTAACAAGTCCCTCCAATGATTTTATTTGATCCTTTGATTGCTCCAGTTCCAAAGCCAAAGATTTGTAAGCCTCTTTGGCATTAAGGCCTTCTGACCGGAGTGACTCCTCAGTTGTTTTTGACAATTCCAATTCCATCTGTGTTTTACTAACAACTTCTAGGGCCCGAACTTCAGATTCTTTGCAATCAGTGAGCTCGGTTTTTAGTTTCTCAACCAGGGAGAGAGTTTCTGTAAGTTCAAGTCTTAGGCTCTGTATCTTTTCGTGTGCTGATTCAGCATCCCTAGCCTGAGCAGCTTCAGATTCTGCCACCCTTTCCAGCTGGAACTTGAGCTTCTGGATCTCTAACATGGCAGAAGCCAAGGCAGCAGAGTCCATAGAGTGCTGCTTCTGAACAGCCTCTAGTTCGGACTGCCATGCCCGATATCGGTCCTGGGAGATTTTGCGGAGCTCCTGGACCCGAGTATCCTCAGAAGCAGAAAGCTCCAGCAGCTGCTGCTGGGACTCCTCGAGTTCTGTTGACATGGCGGCAAGCTGCTTCTTGGTCTCTTCGGCCTCCTGCTGGGCCGTCTCTTCCATAATTCGGATGAGCTCAGCTGGTCTTTTGCCTTCTTCAGTTCCTCCTGGAGCTGAGCAAGCTGAGATTCCAGTTCAGGCACTCTGCTTGGGCGCTTCTTCTGAAGCTCAGAAAACATGGGATTAGAATGTGAAAGTGGGTTACTAAAATAGTACAGAAATGACTACAGAAATCTGCAAAAACAACTACCACCACATATCCTGACAACAATATTTAAGGGAATTATTAAAAAGAAGAAAAAAATATCTTACAGCAATCAATATGTCTAGATAATTCAAATGGTGCAAATATACACACAAATTTGAATAACAAATGTAATATGAATAATGAATCTCATAGTTCCAGGAATCCAATAGATTGAGCAAGCCATGAAAAGCAATGAACCTAATTCCAGAAAATGATAAACAAGTTGTGTGAGTTAAGAAATAGCAACTGAAACCCACACCCCACACAAGCACCCAGGAGGGAAAAGAAGCAAAATGAGTAGAAGAAAAAAGATCTTAGAGAACCATTCTCTGTGCATGGTTCTCAGATTGCTTTAACTTAAAGAACACTCAAAATTCTTCTTTTTCTTTTCAGATGGAAATAATTAAATCTAACAATTAAAATAAGTAGATAAAAAGGAATACATGTGAAGGCAATACCCATGATATAATTGTCTAATGAGATATCAAAAACCCACTACCAAAATTACAATGAGGCTTCTACATCACTTTGGTAACTTCAGTCAATGCCACAAACATTTTTCTGGCATTATCATCTCTAGATGGAACATTGTTCATTCTGGGCAATATCTAAGAGCAGTAAAGGTTTCCATATTGTGATACCCCCTAATTTTGGAACACGAATTGATCAAGTCCGCGCACAAAATCAAGGGATATCAAAACAATTTAAGTATTTAACAAGCACAGAATACAAAGATGAATAATAAAGAATAAATAAACCGCTGAAGAAAACTAATAAATAAATATTACTTAATGATTCTCCAACAATTACAATTCGGAAATCCCATAACTCAAGGACCCCTTAAACATTATCCAATAATCCAATACTATTTAAAAGTACACAAGATGAATAGACGAATGACAGTCTCCCAGCTGCGGATCCTCAACCTCGAGACTGGAACCTCTAATAACCTGAAAAATAAATCGTGGGTTAAACCCTACGAGCAAGTTCACTCTACCAGACCTCTGAAAACCAATAAGCAGATCATCTCTGATCAAAACCAAACCTAATAAAGTTTTAACTTTAATAAAACACGATATACATGTCTATATATAATTATATATACTATACTAATCACATCCATTAATAGGTTTATTAAATTTCCATACCTATTAAATAATTATTAAAATAATATTCATACCTAGACCAATCTACCATTTCATTTTATAAAAACTCCTTTGACCTTAATCCCATCCTAGTCAGTTGTTTAATCATTTAAACAACAAATTATAATAAAAGAAATACTCTATTTAATCCCAACCCGATAATGATTTTAATTGTTTAAATCACATATCCAAAATCCAAGTTTTGACAAATCATCCACGTCTTCCCCAATATTATTTTATTAATGTAAAATAATACACTAACCAGTAAGTACTAAACTATTCTCATTTAAGAATATCTAACCCTAATCCAATCCATACATACAACAACCATAGATGATATTTTAATCATCTAACATATAATAACGTAATTATGCTTTGGCAAATCAACCATGCCGTTACAAATATTTTTATTTATATATTGGCAATTCAACCATGCCTCCACAAGTATATATATTTATACATTGGCAATTCAACCATGCCTCCGTGTATATATATTTATACATTGGCAATTCAACCATGCCTCCACAGGTATATTTATTCATACATTTAATTAGCAATTCATCCATGCTTTCCATATATGTATTCTATTCATACAAATATTTAAGTAATATATTTAATCAATTTACAATTCATCCATGCCTACACTTTAACCATGAATTAACTTTAAAATTAACAATATCCTAAATCATACATAGCCATCATATGCATATTATACGCATATCATTAATTTAACAACCAGCCTATTAAGATATGCCAAATAAGAATGATAATATTAATCATCTTAAATGATTTTTATATATATATACCTACACATATGTTATTTAATGTATATATGTGTTTAACACCTTCTTTAATAATCCTTGATTATTTAAAATCAATATACATACATACATACATATATATATATATTCATCCTTCCATACAACTCATAGACAAATTAAACTATATATACACATATATAAATAATTATATATATATATATATATATATATACACTTCCTTCCATAACAAATTATTAATTTATTATATTTACACAAATTAGTGCAACTAAATATGTCAGAAATTGTTTCCTTTAAATACTCCATATTGGTTTAAATAGTTTTCCGACACTTTCTCACTAAAACATAAATATCTCCTAGTAGGATGGGAATCTGATAATAAAATTGGTACCATTGGAAAGAAGACGAAAAATCCTTGAATTTGAGCTCAAGAATGACCCAATTTTGATTTAAAATGACTAAGTTATGACCGTTTTAATTTCTAGTGTCGAATTAGGCCAACATAGTTTCCCACGCGCGCCCACGTGCTTACTATGCACTTGCACGCGCTGGATTCAAGCCTCCTTGTGTGCTGGTATTGGCTAAGCTCTTTCAGCTACCGTGAGCTCACCACACTGAATCCATCACTTCCTT